GGGGCAAGGTCCCTGAGCAAACAATGAGTTGTCGGAGAGAGGGGGGGGGGACAGCCAGCCAGGGAGCACAATGGTGCATGGACAACAGACACATGGTGTGTAAGGGTAGAGGTGAGAGCTGGGTCTCCTTTTTGATCCATCCGTGGCTCTAGCTGCAAACAATAAAAAAAAACAACTCAGAAGTCCTTCCTTCGGCACAACTACCAGCATGTGAGGACACCGTCCAAGAGGCTGTCTCAGAGCAAGGGTTGCATAGGAACAAGGACCTGAGGATCTGCCCTGAGGCTAGTGACACGCACCTTCAATCCTCAGCTTCCAGCAGCGTGCTTTCCATGGCAAGGGACTGGGGCTGGTGTCAGTCAGCCTTCCTGTCCGAGTTCCTGGGAAGACCCCTGCCTGTGACTGCTGGGACAGGCGCCTCTTGCTGCCTAGGCTGACTGCTGGCATCACACAAACCCTTAGTGCCGCCTGCTCTGGGTTCCTACAGGATTTATCAGGGAAAGCAGCTGTCCCCTGGCCCTTGCTGCTGGGATCTCTCTTAGGACTGCTGCCTGTGATGTTCTGGGTTCCCTTCAGAGGGGAGTCGATGTTGTGTTACTTGTTAAAACTGTGTAACAGCAAAGCAAGTGCAATTGGCATCCTAATCCCCAGGGAAATCTCCCTTTTTTCCATGTGCTCTATGTGTGTGAAGAGCCCAAGTGAATGGGAAATTAGTTACAATCCCTTTAATGGTCATATTGACCTCCTACATACCACTTTCCAGCCATGGAGGTCAAAGCACATCGCAAAGGATAGCAAGTGACATCATCCCCATTTCACAGCCGAGAAAACTGAGGAACAGAGAAGGGAGGTAATTCCCAAATGTAACTGAGCCTTGGCATGGCCAGGAATATGGCACTTTGACCCAGACTTCCTCGGTTAAAATGCACTGATCTGGACCAAACACTCCAAGACTCTTAGTCTATTACATATGGACATCTTTAAAGGTTGCCTCAGGGACTTATAAAGCTGCCCTTCAATGTAGTACCTAAGCTCCTGCCATGTAAAATGGATGACAATAAGGAAGCTCCTCATAGACGTCATGAAGTTTCCAGTTCTTTTCCCTTGTCAGGGTGAAAAAACTCTGCTTTGGTACAGGGGGTTGAAACTTTTAGATTTTGTTTTCTTTTGGGGGGATTGGTATGTGTGATTTTTTGGGGACAGATCATCTTTAGCATTAGAATAACAATCTCACAGGGTGCACAGAGACTCCTAGAACATTGAGTGCCAGCCATATCAATCACTAGCTAGGTCCTGAAGTGCTCTGGCCTCCTGAATCAATCTCTAGTTAGGTCTTGAGGTGAAGTGCTCTGTCAAACAGATCATTCTATACCTACGGCCCGAAGTACTCTGTCCACCCAGATCCATCTCTAGCTAGGTCTTGAGGAGCTCCAGAAACCTGAATCAATTTCTTGTTCGAGCTTCAAGTGCTCTAGTAATTCGTATCAATCTCTAGCTAAACCCTGAAGTACTATGGCCATTGGAACCAATCTCTAGCTAGGCCCTGATGTGCTCTGGTAAGGTGACCAGATGTCCCAATAAAATCAGGACTGTCACGATATTGAGGCATTTGTCCCGCTTCCCGACCAATGTTTGGTCAGGATGCAGTTTGTCCTAATATTTCGCACTTCTGGATTTGTTTGTTTTTTGCTCCGCCGGTGGTGGCATTCCTTTTTTTTTGCTCCACCGGCGGGACACCCCCCCATGTGTCCCGAAATTTTCTTCCTCTCATCTGGTCACCCTATGTTCTGGCCACCTGGATCCATCTTTAGCTAGGCCCTGGTGTGCTCTGGTCCCACCATCTATCTCTAGCTAGGGCCTGAAGTCCTCCAGCCACAGAGAACAAACTCTACTTAGAGCCTGAAGTGTTCAGAGCACCTGAATCCATCTCTAGCTAGGTTGTGAAGTACTCTAGCCAGCTGGATCTGTTTCTAGTGAGGCCCTGTATTGCTCAGGCCACCTCGATCAATCTCTAGCAATGTCCTCAGTTGCCCTGACCACTGGGATCAATATCTAGCTCTGGATTACTTGATGACCTCTTGTTCTGTTCATTCCCTCTGGGGCACCTGGCATTGGCCACTGTCAGAAGACAGGATATTGGGCTAGATGAACCTTTGGTCTGACCCAGTATGTCGGTTCTTATATTCCTATGTTCCTGAAGTGCTCTAGGCACCTGGAATAAATTATAGCTAGCTCCTGATGTGCTCTCGCTGCCCAGATCCATTTCTAGTTAGAGCCTTGTCAGGGTTCCCTCCCCACTCTGAACTCTAGGGTACAGACGTGGGGACCCACATGAAGACCCCCTACGCTTATTTCTAAGAATCAGCTCTGTAAAATCGGGATGGTAAGTACTTGCCTTCATGGTTTGTCTCCAGCAAGCACACAGAACAGACAGACAAAACCTTCCCCCCGTCCGAGATTTGAAAGTATCTTATCCCCTTATTGGTCCCTTTGGTCAGGTGTCAGCTAGGTTACTTGAGCTTCTTAACCCTTTACAGCTAAAAGAGGAATTAACCCCTTACAGGGTAAAGAGGGATTTTATGATACCCTTAGCTGTATCAGAGTAGCAGCCGTGTTAGTCTGTATCCGCAAAAAGAAGAACAGGAGGACTTGTGGCACCTTAGAGACTAACAAATTTGTTAGTCTCTAAGGTGC